AGCGTCGTCCAGATGCTCCTTGAACTCTGACAGGCTTGGTGCTGTGACCACTTGCCTATTCTAGTGACTGACCGCCCTCTTAGTGAAGAACTTTTTCCACATGTCCAATCTGAATTTCCCCTAGCGCAGCTTTATTCCCTTTCCTTGTTTCCTGTTGCTGTAAATGTAATTGCTGAAATGTAAAGGATGCTTAAAGATTGCAGGCGAATATGCTAGTACTTCCATTGTATAACATAGGAATGCCACAGAAATGCACATGAGATTAACAGCAGTAAAATAATTAGCATTCTGTTTTTCCTGATTTATTCAGGACTACTTATTTTACTGTTGTGCTGGAATTCCCTAGAGAGTTGTTGTTCTGTAGAATCTTAAGTTATTTTTCTACATTTTTGGAAATTGTATTTTAGAGGAGAATTAAGAGAATATTCTTTATAGCCACACAGGATGACAGTGTAGTGTAAGGCATTCTTCTCTATGCTATGTTTATCTTGCAGAAAGAAACGGGGAAAAGAGCAAGCAGTACATATTCACACATTCATAAAGTCTGGAGAAGGCCAGTGGATGCTCAGCATCCTGCCTCACATTAGTGGATGTGCTATGTATTTGGTTTTCCCAGGAGCACAGGAAAATTGGAAGTCACATTTTGTTTTTCCTGAGTCATGCAACTTCTGTAGCAGCGCTGATAATATGTTATCCACAGTCAGCGCTGATTTGTGCTTTGTTCATGGGACTTAGAGCAAAGACAAAATTGATTTTGGAGTGGGTGAAAGGAATGGAATGAAATCTCCTTATAGGTAAGAATCTCCTTAGAAGTTTAGAATTATGTTGTCTAGATTTGATTTATTTTTTCCTTCTAGCTTAGAATTGTTAATGTCTGCATGTAACAGCTATTGTTGTAGACTTTGACCCGCTCCACTGGATGTGTGTCACTCTAGCATGCCCTGGCTTTAGCTGGCAGATACAAAATCACCGTACTGGAACCCAGTTGTTGTTCTGTCACCAGCAACTTGATTTTTCACTATGGTTTTGAATCCTATTACCTGCTGTGATGCGTTAACTATGTTTAGTTCCCCTATCACTATTACTTCTTTTCAAGGGAATGTTCTACTCCCAAATACCTTACTATTTTTCCTTCTCTTCCCGAAAATCAACAGACCATGCTTTGGCCTTGGCTGTCAAAAACATGTTTCTATTTCCGGAGGACTTGCCATGTTTTCTAAAGTATGCTCTGCTCAATGCCATTCAGAGCTTTCAGAACTTCAGCTTTTTTTTTTTCTTTGCTTTCCACACTCTCTCCAAATATCCAGTCCAGTTTCGATAGCTGTCCAGTGTGGAATGATTCATTTGGCTAGCAGACATGCATCATTAGGTTTCGCCTTAAACTCTCCAAACAGCTTAAGCAAGCTAGAAGGACAAATCGGTTTCCCAGGCTGCACTGCAAGTCACTTATCTGGTTTTATTCCACCATGCAGAATTTGGTTTGCGGCCCTCAGAGCAACATTATATCAGCCCTTATTGCCTAAAACTGTTTTAACCCTTGCTCTACTTCCTCTCTTTTATACGCAGTGAATAATTTCAGAAGCAACTGCAAATTTTCCAGCAGAAACTCAGTACATCCTGTACCTTTCCTGGGATCCCCTTCTTAGAAAAGCGTTCACAGAAAAACTTTAGAAAAAAGTCCTAGGAGTAATGAATATCTGTATCTTGTTTGCTTTAGCAACATACATGGAATACACCTATTTTTTAACTTTCTTAGCTTATTTTAAAAGCTTTTAGTTTAGATTAAGTTTTTCAGTTTCTAAGATGGGAAGTTGTAATGATGCAGTAGGTGTGGGTCTTTCACAGTGGAAACAGAATGATAGTGTTTCTAACAGGAAACAAATTGCCTTCCCTTCTGCCCATAGTAAGTTCCTAGCTCTTCTAATAGAAATGGGGGGGGAACAAACTACTCCAAAGGCTCAGGAGCCCTCGGAAGACACATCAGAACAGCATAAACTTAATTTGTGAAATAGCAATTTTTTAAAGATTTTTCTTCATTTTAGGGCCAAATTTCTTCATGATTTTTGACCAAGTTGACTTGACAGTATCAGTTCCATATGTTGTGAGGCTACAGGGTGAGTTCTGTTTTGGAACAAAGAATTCCACAGCTGCTACGCAACAACATGGGACATGTGTACTATTGCTAAAAGCACTATCAAATGCAGAATAAACAGCTAGATAGTGTATAGCACAATAATGCAATTTCGTACCTCATTGTGGAGCACACTGTATAGAGAAAACATTCTGAAAATATTTTTTATTTATATTCTGTTTTGGGGGGATTTGTGTGCACTGTCTTTCTTTCCCATCGCTGTTGCCAGTTGCTGTTGCCCCTGAAATTCTAGGAATATATGATGGGAAAACAAACCTTAAGTGAAGCGATGAGATGAAAATAGTAGTAGGACGAATAAGCTGTATAAAGGGTTAAAAATGATTCAAGCAACTTGATTGGGTGATGAGAAAAACATGAATTCTTTAGAAACTGAGACAGCTTCATAAGATAAAAGTCATGCTTCCCCCACCCCCATTTTCATTATAATAGTAATTACTATCTCAATACCAGTCATTTCATGGGGATTAATGACCAGCTGAGGATAATGACCCTCAGCTTTATCTTGAACAATCAACTTGTGCCCATTTATCACTAATCTTCTGAAATTACTCAGCACTCCAATTGTATTACTTATTTATACAGAAATTTAGTAAACATGCATAAAAAACCCCTGTAATGTTTCAAAATTATTCTATTCACATCCATTGCGCCGCTCTGTTTTTTCTCCTTCCGATTTAATATTATACTTCCCAAGAGGCAAGCTACATGTTTGTGAGCCTATTTATGAATAGGACAATGAATACTGGTTTCAAAATTTCGTCATGCTTTTTTATGTTGAAGTATACATGTAATACCCAAATTGATGCAGAAATCTATTTTTAATAAATTGCATTAAGAGACTTAATCCAAGCAGAAACTCAGTTATATGAAAAAAAGATTTGTTATAAATAAACAAAAATAGCAATGGTCAGAGACAGGAGTTGAGTTCAGCTGAGTGCCGTAGCTCTGTCATGGTTTAAGCCCAGTAGGCAGGTCAGCCCCACAGTCACCCACTCACTCCCCCAAAATGGGATAGGGGAGAGAATCGGAAGGGTAAAAGTGAGAAAGCTTATGGCTTGAGATAAAGACAGGTCAATAAGTAAAGCAAAAGCTGTCTGTGCAAGCAAAGCAAAATAAGGAATTCATTTGCTACTTCCCATCAGCAGGCAGGTGTTCAGCCATTTCCAGGAAAGCAGGGCTCCATCATGCCATAACTCCGAAAATTCCCCCCTGCCCTTCTTTCTTCTTTCCCCTACCTTATATTGATGAGCATGACATCACATGGTATGGAATATCCCTTTGGTCAGTTGGGCTCAGCTGTCCCAGCTGTGTCCCCTCCCAACTTCTCGTGCACCCCCAGCCTACTCGCTGGTGGGGCGGGGTGAGACGCAAAAAAGTCCTTGATGCTGTATAAGCATTGTTCAGTAATAACTAAAACATTGGTGTGTTATCAACACCTTGTTCATCACTAATCCAAAACATAGCACCGTACAAACTACTATGAAGAAATTTAACTCTATCCCAGCCAAAACCAGTACATGCTCATATGACCAGAGGTCTGTGTATTCGAGAAATGTTGTTTCAAGATTAGTTTTGTAGGAAAAAAATGGTTGCAATGTGAGTAAGAATAGAAGGAAATAATCATAATCAAATGAATATATTGATATGTTGTCACTTATAATTTTTGTAACTTTGTTTAATGCAATATTTTCCATTGTTATTGAAGTTTTAGAATTAGAGAAGCAACCATTCATGTAGTTAGAGGTATTTCATGAAGAGGAAAACTGTCAAGTCTGGCTCTAATGATAGCTATACATTTTTAACTACTCAAAGAATAGCTCAAGGCATTATTCACAGAAGGATAATATAGCTCGGGAATGACAGCAAATTCTGAATTTTGCCTGTTTCAGGCAGCCCTCATTTGTGTTGGGTCTATGGTCCATGGATACCTCATTCGAAAATAGAAATGCTTTAATGGAGCTTTTTCTATCTGCAAATTCTTACCATGTTATCTATGTATTCTTCAACATTAATGCACCTCTTTGTGTTACATGACTAAAGGATTCAAATTTATATTTAGCTTAGTTAATGTTTTTTAATGTTCTAGAACATACCAAACAAGACGGTAGATGAAAGTACACAGCTCCAACATTCCTGGAATCTAAAGAGGATTTTTTGACTTAGGGATATCTAGGTGATTTAAGGCACTCTGCTACTTTTTATTCTGTTCTGGCACCACTTCCTGCTAATGTTGCCTGGGTTTTTCTGTTAATTGTTTTCTTCTTCCAAATGGTTGTCCATGTTGATTCTTAAGTCTTCTTAAGTCTCGTACATACAAAAGAAGATTGTTTTGGCCAGCAATGTTTCTTAGAGTCATGCCAGCATTCTGTTGATTTGTACTTCCCCCCAGGGAGGTAAAAAAGTCTGCCAAAGCTCAGCACTTCTTTTATTTTACTTTCTTCTGAACATCCGTGGCTGCAAGAGTCTTTGATCTACCCACCTGCAGTTCTGACGGCAATCAGTTGAAGGTCTGTGTGGCACTGAAAGTATGCCACCCTATTCCCACAGACCAGCATTCACTACATCTTTTGAGTTAGCTGTCCTTCCACTAAGAGGCAGTATTGGCCTACCTTTCCCGTGTTACAGATTCTACAGAAATTAGAAAAAGGAGAAGAAACGTGAAAAAATGGGGTAGCATTTGTTCCTAGCTTCAATTTCATCCAACTACTCGGGTGAGGCAGTGACTAATCCTTGTCACATTGATGAATATAGAGTGTTCCAATGACAATGACACATTTGGCCAAGAGATGGATTAAAAGACGCTTGCTGGATAGAGTTCACCACTGCACATGGTGATAGTCACACTGCACCTTTTCACGCTTGCTAGAGCATAATTTTTACCAAGTTGTTACAGCCACACCTATATTCGCTGCACTCAGAAGATAAGTGTGCCAGACTTCCTGTTAATGGTACAGTGGAGCTCTAGAGAAATAAAGATTTATGCTTTGGATCCTGGGATATTAGCAGCTGTGCGTGTCAAAATCAGCTGGTAAGGTGTGAAAAACTTACTACTAACTGGATTTTTAGAGAATTGTAGGAATGTTCTGGTTACTTCAGGGAGGCCAGTAATCTAATGACACAGAAAAAGGATTTGCATTTTTCTGATATGACAATAGCATAACAAAACACTTTTCCCACTTTGGTGAGTAAGTCAGTCTTTTTTTTTTTTTTCAATTTTAGACCTTTTTTCCTGTGACTCAGCATGATAGGAACTGTAGCAGAAACTGTTTATTGCTCTAGCAGCTAGTCAGCATCAAGCCTACTAGATTTGGCTAGTACTGGGGCTGCTCAATATAAAAGACTTAGGTGTAGAACCTGGCTGTAATTCATGACATTGCATTGTGCAGAGGAGAGAAGTGATCCAGGGATCCATCTGGTGCAAGTACCAAAATAATCTGATCATGTGGTAGGACTGTCATTGATGCAAAACCTCGCCCCTCACTCAGCTGAAGAGCCTCTTTAGCAATGAGATATGTGGAAAGGTGCATTTCACCTCTTGTTGGAAAAAATGAAGGAGCATCTGGCCTAAATTTTGGCTGACTGGTGGGTACCAAGTCATTGATACAGTTCAGTGATGAATACACAAAATTAAGTGGTCTCCTGACAATGGAAATGCCTGAAGTCCACACTGTAGAAAAGGTGCATGTTTATGAAGCTGTCTGTCAGCATTTGGACTGTGGGAATGACTGTTTTCAACACAAGGCAGATGGCTCTGATCCCTTGCAGAGATCACATGCCCTGAGCTCTCAGACATTCTTATATGAGCTTCCCATCTTTGACTAGAAGCATCTGTCATCAAAGACTTGTTTGGCTGAGATAAGATGGGTTTGCTCTTGCAGTTCTGAAGCAGGTCTTTCTACCAGTTTGAGGGAAGGATTTACTTTGACGTCTGTGTGTCTGAGATCTCTGCTTGGCGGAATTCTTGTATAGAGCATAGTTTGTCTAATAACATCAAATAAGATGTTAACCGTTGTACTCACAGTGGTTCAGAAAGCTCACTGTAGCCCGGAATCATTCTTATGCTAGCAG